ACTGATAATTTGTTAACCAATGACTAACTTTCTCCATTCGATATTGTAGAAAATTGTGAGTGAATTGTTAATTATATTAAGATGTAGAGTTAGTGCATGTTTGGTTCTTAGGTGAGCTGAGGGGAATTTATTCCAAGTGAATTAGTTGTTTTTAAGTCATTGCAAAGTAATAAAACTAGAAAATCACATCAAAATGCGGTTAGGCCAAATTCTAAGATACATCTCTGAAAATCAATTTAGACAAAATCGAGAGATGTATCTTCAAATGAACTTGTGAGTTACTGAAATGACAGAAATCCTATTGATGCCCTGAATTCCAACCAAATGGGAATTAATGTCTATACCGTCTATCTATTTCGAATGTACTATTATCTAATGCATTTTAAATTATTTGTCACCTAAAACATCATTCAAATCTATAAAAAAAAAAAATTGAGAAACTTATCAAATTAGAGTTGTGGATATAAAGTAAAAGTTTGAATAAAATGAATGAATTTGCAACAAATAAAGTAGAATGGATTAAGTGATCTTGAAAAACGAACTTGAATAAACTTGTTCAAATGAGGTTTAGAAATGACTTTGCAGCAAAATACGTCAAATGGGGTTTTGGTGACTTTGTACCAAATGAAGGAAGAGGGAAGAATCTATCGTAGATTTATGAATAAAATATGCTAGAGATGCATTTCCGTAAAAATCGCTAAATTTTGAATTGAGTATTTTATAGTGATGTATATTCGGACTCACCTTAGTATATATATATATATATATATATATATATATATATATATATATATATATATATATATATATATATATATATATATATATATATATATATATATATATATATATATATATATATATATATATATATATATATATATATTTCCAATCTAAAATTTAGAAGGAAAAAAATGGTGGTTCATCAATTTACGCTGAGAAATATGTAAAAAAAAGATATCATTTTTAAATTTTTGGAATAATCCCAACTTTTCACCGTGATGGAAAAGTAGCCTAACGATGGAAATATGGAGTGTTGTATTCAACTCCAATTTATTAAAGTCCTCCAGTAGAAATTACAAATATAACTTATATTATATGTTAGTTCTTTGGGTTAAGATAGGGTTTTTTAATTAGTTTGAGAGAATGTCACAGTATCTTTACATTATTTTTAAGAATTGATTATTTTTCTTAATAAGTTAATATTTTATTAAAAAAGAAAAGTTTCATATACAATGGAGTGCAAAGCATACTTGGTCCCCTCACTAATTATAAAAGGAAAAAAATAAGCAGAAAATGAAAGAAGAACTTTTTCCTATTTTGTTAAGTAAAATTCAAATGATACAGTTGTGTTTAGAAAAATAATTGTGGATTTGAATTCGCGATATTCTATTTGTTCATTTTTAAAAGATAAATTTTAATTATTAGACTACATGACAAAACTACATCATTTCTGATCATATCAGATCAGAAAAGGATCAGCAGCCAGCGACACGTCGTGAACTCCCAATTCACCAGTGGTGGAGAAGAGGAGGGGGTGTATATGCAAAGTACTCTGATGTTAAAGTAAGAGACAAAGTAGAAATAACTAGTACAAATAAAGTGTGTAGAGAATAGAATACATGACCCTCTAATGAAAGAGGGTATTTATAATGTGCCCCCGACGCTGGGCCAACAGTTACTTTGCATTGGGTTGGATCGCTAGTCCCAATATGAGTAACTGCCAAGGCTTACACGGCGTAGGGAAGACCAGCACAAGGTCTTTGCCCTGGGTCAGCTGCTCTGTGATCTTCGGTAGGTGGGTACAAAAGTGAACCCTAAGGTACTTGAAGGGTACAAAAGATCATGGTATCATGCTCAGTAAGAACCAAAGTGTTTAATCAGTTGTGAGATATGTGGATTCTGACTATACAGGTGATCGAGATGATATAAGGTCTATAATAGGATATGTCTTTACTCTTGTAGGGGGACCTATATGCTGGAAATCATCAGTTCAATCCATAGTCGTTATGTCTACAACTAAGACAAAATACATGGCAATAGCTGAAACTGCCAAGGAAGCATTATGGTTTCCAGGGTTAGTGAAAGAGTTGGGTGTTGAACAAGGTGGAGTTCAGTTGCATTGTGATAGTAAGAGTGCTATCTATTTGGCGAACAATCAAGTGTATCATGCTAGGATCAAACATTTTGATGTGAGGTTCCACAAGATCAAGGAGTTGTCGGCGTCTGACATATATTAATTCAGAAGGTTCATACTTCAGAAAATACAGCTGATTTGTTGACCAAGTTAGTCACCAGTGCCAAGTTCAAACACTGTTTAGACTTATTACATATTTCTCAGTGTTAAGCAGGAGGTGTACCTCCTCAGTTTCCAAAATGAATTGTTATGCAAAAAGTTTAAGGGTTTTGATATTCTTGAAGGTGAAGATTGTTGAATATATGACTCATATTGTTAAGATAATTATGTGTTGTTGAGATAACTATGGATTGTTAAGAGTATAATTCATATTGTTGAGATAATTATGAATTGGTTATTAAGAGTATAATTCATATTGTTGAGATAATTATGAATTGTTGAGATAACTATAGGTTATTAAGATAATAGTTCATATTGTAGAAATAATTATGGGTAGAGATAATTGTTTGTTGAGGAAAACTAGAGATTAGGGTTTTAGATAAACTAAAACGTCGTATGATATATATGCCTTGTAACACTGTAATCTATATGATGGTTGTCAAACTCGCGGGTAGACTCGTAAACTCGTATGAGTTAACGAGTCTAGGAAGCATAAACGAGTAGAGTCATGCATAGAATCATTTTTTTGATAGACTCAAGTAGACTCGCACAAACTCGTAAAGACTCGCGAGTCTATAACAAGTCTATAAGTTTTTTTTTGAATTTTTTTAAAACAAAAAGGCCTAAGTTCCCCAAAATATTTTATTTTATTTTTTTTTATAAAAAAAAAATCCAAATTTTTTTTCTTGTACGAGAATTAAATAGTCTCTCTCTCCTAGTCTATTGTTTCAGCAAAGTTTATTCCCTCTTCATCAACAACGTGAGTTTATTCTGTCTCTTGCTCTGTTCATGTTTTTGGTCATAAATCAATCCTTTGTGTGTAATTATTTTCTTATATGTTTCACTTGGATGCTTCTCGTGTATGATATCTTATGTAAAGGTGATGCACTATTGTCCAATCAAGTCCAATGATCCCAATACGCATGTATCAATTTGCATGTGATAAAATAGTTTAGAAAATTTATGATTTATGGGAGAAAATAGTTTAGGAAGGATATGTTACATACTAAGGGTGGAATTCCTATGGAGATATGATTCCATAATTAAAGAGGTTTGTAATTCGTGTTCTAAACTTAACTTGTAGCTTCTATGATTGTGAACGCAATTGAAGTTCCTTTGAAATGGTAATGAATTATTATTTGTTTTTTTATATACTTGAATTTAATTTTTTAGAAACATTGAGTTGAATTATTATTTAATTTTTAGAATCATAAATAGAGAAGAAATAGGTTGCGTAAAACAAGGTGAATAATTTGGTTTATATCATGTACAATTTAAAGTTGAAAAGTGGAAAAGAAAAATCAAATAGTGTTCTTTCATTTGAAGATAGTCATTCAAATGATGAATGAATAATTGAAGTACATAATGAAGAAAATGCGCAACCTGAAGTTAATATTAAGTAAGATGATGTTATTGTTAATAATGTTATGGAAGTTAATGTTGTTGTAATTAATATTGTGCAAAGTGGTGCTGGTGACAATATTAAACTAGGTGGAAGTGGAACTTCAAATAATCCAACATTCATTAATGATGAATAAGGTGTTTCATTTGAGACAAAGTTTGATGATGATACTCAAGATACCCATAAAGATGATGATGGTTATATTGATGGTTGTGATTTCACCAGAGCTTTTGATATTTGAAGCTATTAGCATATCTATTTTATGATTTTTTTTTTTGCTTAATGTAGTAGCCAATTAAGAAATTAATAATTTAAGTCTTTAATTATATACTTCACAATTTTGTTTGTTTTACTATCGATTTTTTTTTGTTAAGAAATTTGTTATGGAGTATGAAATTTAAATTTTTATGATAATTAGTGTTGTATTATATATTTATATCATAAACGAGGAATTTATAAGTACAAAAACATATGAGTGTATCATATATGTGTCACTTTATAGGTTTTTGAAAGTCATTTTTAATTTTCCATAGACTCATACAAGTTTGCGGGTCAAGTCTACGGACCCTTTACGAGTCTGAGTAGACACGCGAGTTTGACAACCTTGATCTATATACAATTCACAAGACATAAATAAAAGAAACCAAGGCTCCTCTATAGTCACAGACGTTTTGCGGGTCAAGTCTACAGACCCTTTACGAGTATGAGTAGACTCGCGAGTTTGACAACCTTGATCTATATATAATTCACAAGACATAAATAAAAGAAACCAAGGCTCCTCTATAGTCACAGACGTAGGCAATTTAGCCGAACGTGAACAAATTTTGTGTTTATCTTTACTCTGATCTGTATTCACCTTTTTGTTCCAACAGATTTAAAAAAAACTAACACTAATATTGTGTCGTTCACAGTAGACAACCAAACAACTAATGTCATCTAGTAATACACTTCCAAAACACTCTTGTAAGATTTAAAACACAAAGGTTAAATCCATTTCCGCAATCGCACACCATTTACACTTGAAATATTTCAAAACACTAGATGTAACGCATCTTTACGGACTTAACAACTCTTAACCCATATCCCATAGATGTCAGCTCTTACATACACTTTTGTAAACTGTGTAAAGGATATATGCTCTTGTTTCTTTTCCTAAATGGAGGAGATAAAAAAGGAAATTGTTGTACATGAAAAACTAACTCAGTCTAAAATGAAACATGTAATAACTTAAAGTTACAGGGCAGCTGCATCAATATGGGATATTTGAGTGATATTTTGCAACTGGGTTTTTGTTCCAGCAAACTATCTAGTTCTTGTCTTGACAAACTTAGGTCTGGATGCCTTCTTCTCCAGCTTTTCCCTTTTCTTGCGGGTCTTTTCATCTTCAACCGACTCCTGATCACAAATCGCAAACAGAATTTAAGTTACTACAAACCTTACTGATCCTTGAAAGTGAAAATTAATCAAGTTGGCCATCATACCTCTGAACCTTGTGGCAAAAATCCTTTAATTAAGCCAAAGGATTGGTATGCTCCAAATGCTGGTATCTGGTAAATGTAAAGAAAGGAGAAACTGTGTCACTGAAGGTTTTTCTTTACATTCTCTTTTTTTTTTGTGATTGGTTTTACAATTTTTATGTCAAACACTTGCAGAAGATTACAACTTAAATTGAACTTGTAAATATATATTTTTGGACCAAAAAAGAAAAGTTGTCATAATTTAAGCAGTTTCCAGACATAGTCGATTGCTCAATTTTGTACAGAACACCTGATATAATTCATGAATGAACAAACTACTACGCCAGTGTGAGAAAAGTCACTAGGGGTTAAATGATAAGCACAAAAGTTTTGGGAACCTCCTCCTGTTCAACAATCCAGTCCCTTTCCCTTCAAGCTGGGTGGTTGCTTATGGCACATAAAAGTTCACAATATTGACTGTCTTTCAGGCATGCACTGATAAGTTAATCTAATGAACCTTAAGATAAATTCCATTTTATGGCAAATGAGCAGTTTTACTTCATCACAACTATGAGCACAAGCTTTCAAGCCTAGCAGATAATAGATCTCTTTGAAGCTAAACTACATTTTTTGATGTGGTATCAGTCCCCACATGTGACTACAGCATTAACATACAGTCCTACATTTTAAAAATGTACCGCATTTACAGTCCTACATTTTAAAAGAATACTGCATTTTGAGCCAATAGAGCCAACCAAAAGCTTATTTAGAAGCAGATTGTATCTTACCACAAGATATATGTACCAGAATTTTCCAGAGATGATGGACGCAACTTGTACAAAGCTTGTTATATAGATAACATCGTGTAAATAGCTGCAAAATATGATCGAAAGTAAGTGAAGAACCATCATACAATTAGATGATTGAAAAAAATTGATATAGAGAAACTAATTTTAACTTGTATGAGAAGCTATTGTTTAACTAACTCAGTCACTGCCACATTCATTTAGCATTTCATTTTCGATAAGTTCTTATTGGAGATCTTTACATAAACCACAAGACAAGACAAAAGTCATACCCACAAACTCCACCAGTAGTCATATCAAACCCACCATCTAAAAGTTCACCATCTTCAGCATAACTAGGGTTCGCCATTTTAGCAAGCTGTTGATAGGGGAAATAATATGCTAGAGAAGTCACAGCAAGGCCAATCCAATGCTTCCAGGTGATGCTAGAATGAAAGACTAACATCCTAATTACTACATAAATAACCTGTTCATAAGTAAACCAATAAATTAGTAAATCAATAATCAATACATTAGTTGAGCAACAATAACTTGTTTATGTTCACATGCATTCATAATCTCAATCCAATAAACAATAATCACATTAGAAGCACTATTTGTATGCATGACCTAGATTTGATCAATTAACTATTCAATTTTAGAGAATTCAAATGATAAACCCTAATCTTGCAGAAATTCTTAGGCTAAAAACCCTAGAAAGGTGAATTGAAATTGCAATCAGAGAGAGAGAGAGTTGAGAAAAAGTACGTTGCAGGCGATGATGATATGGCGGATCCTGGCCATGTGACGGGCGTTCTCTTCCTTGCGTTTCTTAGCACCTTGATTCGCCATTTTTCTTACCTGAGACCAACAACGGTGCCGGTGACGATATCGCAGATATGCTTCTACTTCTTCTTTGGGTCAATGTTTAGCAGCTTCTGATGCACGGAAGGAACACCGGAACATTGACAGTGGGCCAAGGCCCGTTATTTAGATTGGGCTCAACTAATTCAGTTTTTAGGGCCCAATGGAAATTAATCTTTTCAATTTTTCTTAGAATTACTTAAATCATCCTAAGAATTACTATCATGTCTTTGTGAAAAATAAAAAATACTCTTAAAATTTAAAGATGTATCTGTGAACACACCTCAAATACACCAAATTCATTATGGCACCCTTCTTTCTCCTTAACTTTTTCTTAATTCACTAGTCATCCTCATTCAACTCATCTTTTAGTGTGTATTATTATACAAGTTATCATCATTGTTTCTAACTGGGGCTTAGTCTTTTGATATATATTTGGCAGCAAGCCTGTTCTAACTTGTATCTAAATTTCTTTTGGTGGGATTAACTATGTGTTAGGTTAACTCTAGGTGTTGTGTCTGGAATGTGAACTTACAATTTCTTCTTCTTTAGCATGAATGTGTCCAAAACCTTCACATTCACGACATTGAATTCCTTTGGCCTTGTTTTGTTTTTCTCCATCTTTTGCTTTACGTTTAAAGTTGTCACCTTTTGAGTTATGATGTTGATTGTCTTTGAAATTGGTAGAGACATTATTCCCAGATCTTTTATATCATGACCTTTCTAAAACTCTTAATAAGCATATTAATGGACTCAGACATATTTTCATCTGCACCACGTTCTAGTCGATCATTACAATCTTCAGTATCCACTTTGAACGTTGCACCCTTACTTTTTTCTCAAATTTGTCTTCAATGATCATCTCAAACTTAAGTAAGGATATAATAGTTCATCGACTTTCAGTGTCGAAACATCTTGAACTTCTTCAATGGTTGCAACCTTCATGTCAAACCTCTTGGAGAAAGATCTTAGAATTTTTTTATAAGTTTTTCTCATACATGTTTTTACTAAAAGAAAAGGAATTGTTAGCTATGTCATGGAGGAGAACATTATATCCATAGATAACTCCATCCTCACGCATCTTCATATTTCAAATTTTATGGTAAGAAGTTAAAGTCTTGACATACAATTTTTGAATGTAACTTTATGAGTAACTTCAAGAGTCTCCCAAACCTCCTTAGCACCAGTGCACATATTAAATATCCTAAAGATATTTTTTATCTACTCCATTATATATGGCATTTAAAACATGAGAGTTCCCAAACGCAAGTTCATATTTAACAGTTCTCCAATCTTTTTCAACCCTCAGAAATTCAGTGTTGTCTTCAATTGTGATCTTTGGTGAAACCCATCAATTTATGTTTGCTTTCCAAGTCTTATTGTCCATGGACTTAAGAAAAGCAACCATGTGAGCCTTTTAATGGTCATAATTTGTACCATTAAGAATTATTCAATGATTAACAAATCATCAATCTTTGACATTTTTCATCTTGAACATAATATTAAAAAACATGGAGCTCACCCAACTAGAACAGGGTGTCTGCTCTAATGCAAATTGAAATTTTGTTCGACCAGCGACAAAAAGTCACAAACAATGTGTGATAAATAATATTTCAAAAGAGCGAAGAATAAATAAATAAATTAAATAAACATAGATAATTGGTAACTCAATTTGGTCCGATGTCACTTGCATTTGGAAGTGTAACACCCCAAATTCGATTAAATTGTTTAACTAAATTATGTGAATTTATTTTATTAAATTATTAGATGTTGGTGTGAATTAAAATAAAATTATATGATTCTATGTTGTTGGAGTGTGGTGATAATAGTATGGTGTGGTGAAAAGGTAGAATAAATTAGAATAATTAGAATTTTAATTATTATTATTATTATTAAAATGAGAAAATTTGGGAATTAGTAGAATAATGGAGTGAACGAGTAAAAGGGGAATAGATATGGGGAGGAAAATATAAATATTGGAAGTGGGAAAGTTAGGTTAAGCCTAATATAAAGTTAGAGATAACCTAGTTCTAAAGGAGAGACGTAGAAACTCTGGAAAATAGGCAAGGAGGCAAAAATGAGATTAAAAAGGCTAGAAGAAGAAGAAGAAGAAGAAGAAGAAGAAGAAGAAGAAGAAGAAGAAGAAGAAGAAGAAGAAGAAGAAGAAGTGTGAGATTTCATTACTGCTAGAAAAATAAGATAAGGGGAGGACTTTTTTTTAATGTGTCTTAAGCATTAGGGGTAGAGTTGAGAAATTTTTAACCTTCAATAGGATTGTATATGTTGTATATGAAATCGGTATGATTATGTTGTGTTGAGGTTATATGATGATTTTGATGATCACATTCATGTACCAATATGTGCTAAATATTCTATTATGAGCGTTTTCATATTTATGTCGTTGTTGATGTCTTTGAAGGTTTGAAGGATGTTATAAAAATATGAAATTAATTGAGTATGGGTGTTAATTTGATGCAATAATAAGATATAGAGATGTATATGATATTTTGGTATTGTTTTAGATCAAATTTAGGTACTAGAAATGGGTAATCAGAGTTCTAAATTGAACTCCGTGTAGAAAAACAAAATCTGCAGGTTGCAAGTCCATGGTGGGCGCCATCGTCATGGCGACCAGGTCGCCACAAGTTTAGATTCGATGACGGGCGTCATCGCCATGATGTGTTACATATCACGCACCCAAAATGAGCGTAATAAGCTATGATGTGGAATTGAGTTTCAATTCCAGTTTTTTTTATGATGAATCGAGTTGTTATTAGTTATGGTTTGGTTTCTATGATTAATTATTAGTTATGCTTAATTAATGTTAACATGATTTAAATGATGGATTATGTTGTGTGATGCAAACAGTGAATGTTATAGAGATATTTGTTGTGATTAAATGTTGTTGTATGTTGATTTATTGCCTATCATGGTTATGTTGTTGGTATTATTGGTGTTGTGCAGGGTCAGAAGAGGGTCTATGTGCATGTGTTAAGTGCATGTCGTTGCGTCATACGTTCATGGTGTACGAACTTCAGTTCAGTTTTGTTGTGCTCTTGTTCTATGGTGGGGATCAGGAGCGAGTAGCTAGTTCTAGTGAGAATCAATTAAGTGTTACCTATGGTGATGTTAGTGATTTTGGTGTGCTCTGGTTCTAGAGAGAGAATCGGGAATAGAGGTGGGAATAGGCTAGGCCGAGTTAGGCTTTTCCAGGCTGAGTTTGACCTGCTAAAAAAATAAAAGCGTAAGTCTGGCCTATGACCTATCAAATGCTCATTTTTTGGTATGAGTCTGGCCTTTTCGAAGGCCTAATTAGCCTACTTAAAAAACCTATATCATTTAAACATATGTAAATAAGCAATTAAACTAATGTTTAAATATACTTACTTGAGCTTACTTAGAAGCATAAGTTTTGTGAGATTATGTGTTTAGAAGAACTTGTGAAAACAACTTATGACATTGTTCATAAAGTTCTTTCAACTTATTTTCACAGGTTCTTCAAGATAACTAAACTTTACTTTTGTATTTTACTATAAAATACAAAATAAAATATTAAAATAATATATTTATTTATATTTATTAAAATAGGTCGGCCTAATAGGCTTAAAAGGTTTTTTTTTATGGCTTGTGACCTGACCTATTTAAGTAAATAGGCTTATAAAAAAGCCTATGTCTTTTTTACTTTAAAAGAAAACTAACCTGGCATTGCCATGTGTAGGTTAGGCCGTAGGCCCCTGTTAGTTGGTCTGACCTATTCTCACCCCTAATCGGAAGCGAGATAAACCTGAGTGTTCATATTGGTAACACATGCATGTTGAGTATAGTTGCACTAATGTTGCATTTATGAGTGGTCATTTGGTGATATGTTGTATGGATTATAATACTTGATGTGTGGGTGTTGGTATGATTAGCATGTGTACTTGCAGTTATGTGATACTCTACCTTTTCTTGTTTACACCGCTAAATTACAGAAGTGTATTCTCACCCTCATCTATTTTAACATTGTCCGTAATGGACATCTTGCAGATAATATGGAGTAAATTGCATGGTTGCTTGTTGTGTTTGGAAGAGAGCTTTGAAGAGCTACTTTCGTTTATTTTTTAATTTTATTTGTTTTAGTGGTTATGCTCTGATTATGTTACATCAGGCTGGGAACATTTTCTTTTGAGGTTGAGTTAAAATTTTATATGACTATTTCTTGGAGATTTTTCTAAAGTTAATTGAAAAATGTTATATTCCACAGTGAATTTGTCGAATACATGTAATAATTGAATGTATGCTTTCATGGAAGTAACACTTTAAATGTTGTATAAATATTAATATAAAAGTTTCGGGGTTAACGTGTTACAAGAGGGCTATTGGCCAATGAAACTAAATTCACTAATTCAAGTAGTTAATAGTACACAACAGTCTCATCTGAACACTCTCAATTCAATGCCCTTTTCTTAATACTATCAGTGAACTTTAACCCAGGATTCCCTTGAATATGAGATTCCCTCACTTTCAATCAAACATATCCAAGTGTTTGTAATAAAATAATTATATGTAGTGTGATTCAAAGCACAATCACATACCAAATACCATATCCTTCTAAAATAATAAAGACTCTCAAGATAAAGTATTATACAAGAAAACACATAAGACTCAAAATACATGGCTCAAAAATAAATCTTCAAAAACGGTAGCATTCAAACAGGGTGAGCCATCTCCTTAAATTAGAAATAAGGTTCATCATAAAAGCCCAATTGGGTGTGATAAAAAACTGACTGAATTCGAAAACAACGAATCAAATATTATTTATTAAAACCAAATCCAAATCTTTTTAATTAAACGTATCCAATCAAAATCGTCTTCAAACATATGAGTTAATAAAATCTTTTCTAGATTGATTTGATTAGAAATACTTCTTCTAAATGTTGGGGAAGATTTTCAATATGGAGCATTGAACATTATGAGACTTCTTTTATAGAGCAACATCTTTTTGAGAG